CACGTTCGTAGGCGTCGTGCCCGCAATCGTGCTAACCTGTATGTGTTCAATCATGCGCGCCGCTATCAGTTGTGCACCACGAGAACGTAACTTTCGTAAGACAGGCGAACATGCACCTCGACGGCAAAGAAAAGAACCCGGGCGTGAAAACGGAGTAATGGGGTATCAAACGTACAAGTCGTCGCGCCTGCGAGAGAGAGAGAGAGGCTTTTGTCGTCATCAGGACGAGCAACGCACCGGCCAAAAGGTAAGCCTCCAACCCCGCGTCGAGCTCCACAGCTCGTTCATCGCTAGGATGAGCAAATTCGAATGAATCTTTTGCCGCTCTATGCGGCGCAGACTCGGTTACCCATTCCGGCCAAACCAGTGCCCAAATCGAGAAGTTAATACCGCCACTCAACTCGGAATGGCCTAAAAATTCCTTTTAGCATCCTTACTCTTCTCCTTCTTTCACTTCACTTCCGTCCTCTCCGATGCAGTCACTTACTCTCCCACCTCCCTACACAGCACACTAACGCATAAACTAGCTGCACAACCTGACTCGCCCTACCTCTTAACCTCGATCTATAACGCTTTCTCCCGCCTGCTCCTGCCCCTTAACGAGTGAGAAAAACCTTTCTCCTCCTTTTTGTTTCCGCTTCCTCCATAACCCCACGCGTGACTACCTCAACTGACTTCTCTTCCTACTAACTTTCGCCGAAATCTGATCTAAAAAACGGGGTCGCCCACCACTAAAACCTCAACATCGCCTCTTTCCCAGCCTCATTCCACTAAGTATTGAGTGTGTTATTCTCTCCTTACTACGCCCCCGCTCGTCCTCCACCATCTCCGACTTCTTCCCTTCTGCGCATGCACCTGGTGCAAAACCTCATCTAAATGCGTTACTCTTTTCTACTACAAACCGTGCTCTAACCTAGATGCTACTACGGGCGGCAACTGAATGCAAGCAGCTGGGTGGTGGCACACCGAGTATAAGGAGGTAAGTCTCCCCTTCTTCGTTCCTCTTGTGCACTCGATCTCCCTGGTTTTCGTCCCCCCCTCGTTGTTAGCTCCGGCCCACAGCGCACGGGCTTCGGTCGGTGCCAACCCCAGCCACTGCAACGGCGACAGAGACAGCAGCTGGTGGCCGTGGAAGTCGAAGTCCGCTACGGAGTGTGTACCAGCTCACCTGCGGAATTTGTCTTTCCCGACCGTAGTTGGCCTTGAAGCGCACAGCCTATATTTGGCAACCGTAGTTGCTCCCACGCCCGCGATGAGGAGTATACTGGGCTACTGCACAACCCGCAACATGAGCCTGAATGAGGCAGGTCCCGATGTAGACCTTGGTGGTAGTAGCAAATATTCAAATGAGAACTTTGAAGTCCCGAGTGGGGGCGAGTTACGTGGGAACCGCCACTACAGCCAATATCGTTGCGGGCCTCCCGGCAGTGCCCCATGCCAACTACGCCCAGACGCAGTCCCGTCTATCGAGTCCCACCGGGCTTGCTCACACTCAAACCTCTTGCCGTTGGTCATGGCCAGCGAACGGTGCACCCGCGACAACCCATGCCACCCTCGGGCCGCAGTCCCACAGACCCGCTCAGAATGTTCTCCAGTTCCCGTCCACTCTTAGGTTATCGACGCTCTCCAAATGAAACGCGAGGGAAGCCACGAACACGGACCCCACCACTACGGCTTCCTGCCGCGCCATGGGCCAAAAGCATCCACTGACCTTCATGCGCGTTGACCTCCTTGATCTGTGTTCCCACGCAGTCAAGATGCTGTCAATGCCTAGGTCACACTGGAGTCTCGACTGGCATGCTCAAGGTCTTTAACTGTCGTTTCGGCCACCGTGTCCGGCTTCGGCCTTAGAATTGATTACCGAGGAAAAAAACTTAGACCATAATAAAACAAACAAATAAATAAATAATTAAAAAATAAAAATAAACGCCCCGCGTCCCTCTGGCCCGTGACGCCACTCACACTTAGGTTGCGCACGTTCGCACCTCGTCGTCAGTACCCTGCGCATGCCGCTCACCCAGGCGAGGAGAACTCTCATTTGCGAGCGCACCGTCAACTTCGGACACGCCCGCACTGGCGCGACTTACAGAAAACACGCCAAATACCCTTGTAAGGGTATTTGGTACGACAACGCATGCAATAAGTCGTGTCCGTCTCGTTGCGAACATTTGCAATGTCCCACTTTACTACGCCGAAGTGGGCAATTCATTCGGTGACTTGCACGATCGCCCTCACTAAACCAACAAGAATCTGGACTACGATTCACATTGAGTCTGATTGAGATTGGATTGACTTTTTATGTCATTATTTGTTTGTCTTTTTTTTGTTTCGTTTTTATTTTCAAAGTTTTACGTGTAAAAGCAAATTCTCCAAATTTATGACCAACCATATTTTCAGTAATCTGTAAACCAACAAAATATATTCCGTTTCTTTCTATTTAAAAAGATTCCCCGAATACCTAAAGGAAAACGAATCATTGAAAGTGTTACATATTTCACTAAAATCCATAATCCGATATTTGTATTTATCCCCATTACCCCCGATAGTCGGAATCGTAATTCGTACGAGTAAGCTTCACACCTCACGGTGCTTTTACTTTTCGCCTATTCAAGTGATGGTCTTTCACTTTGTATGATAACTTTTTTCAAGAGGGGTTTCCCACTTATATGCTTTCAGCGGTTCTCCCATACCAACGTAACTACCCGACAATGCCACTAGCATGACAACCAGTCCACCATAGGTTGACCCATCCCAGTCCTCTCGTACTAAGGATGGTTTCTCTCAGTTCTCTTCAAATCACCAACGGTCCAAGTAAGTCGTTTTTTTTAACAAAATTTCAGCTATGTTAAAGAAGTTTATTACATATTATGTATTGAACCCCATAATCACACTTAAAAGTCGAGTACTATGGCATTGAGTTAGCAACCCTCTCTAAATAAAATCACTTCAATTTCTATTATCTTTAATTTAGATTATGTAAACCTATTTTTGTGCTTTTGAGAATATAGCAAGCATAAAAAAAAAAATATTTGTGTTATTCTTGATTTTTTTATTGGCTATATCAATCATTAAATATACATCAATCTAGCTCTTCGTAAATAAAGAAGTGTTCTTTCTAAATCAATAATAGCGATTTCGTTTCGTAATCCGTACAGATATGGCTGAAAGTCTGAAGTAGGTGTACGATTACCAAAATGTGCTTTTGTACACTCGAAGAGACTCGCCATAGTCGTAACTGTATGATATCGGGCAACTTCCTGATTGGAATCATCCATCATGCATGAGGTTATTCATTACTCAAGTTGGAAAGTCGTGTGATGTACCACATCTTGTTCTTCAAAGGATTGAAAAGTTGGAGGAAGTCGTGTGATGTACCACATCTTGTTCTTCAAAGGATTGAAAAGTTGGAGGACTTTGTACCATCCATTCAAGTGCAGTTGAATTTGGCTCAACTGCCCAAGGCGCTTGCAGAGCGCGCACTTCACTGGTTAAAGTGAGATAAACAACCACAAAAAAAACTAAAATTCCTACATCAGAAAGATAAGAGCCAAAACTACTCAGTGCATTCCATCCGGCATAAATGTCTGGATAATCCAGAATGCGGCGTGGCATGCCCGCAAGTCCTAAGAAATGCATAGGAAAGAAAGTCAAATTCACAGCAAAGAAAGTAATCCAAAAATGAATTTGACCTAAGGTTTCTGGATATTGAAGTCCAGAGATTTTGCCTATCCAATAGAAGAATCCTGCAAATAGAGCGAATACGGCTCACATAGAAAGTATGTAATGAAAGTGTGCTACTACATAATAAGTGTCATGTAGAGCAATGTCAAGACCAGAAGGCGGACCGAATCCTGAAACATTGACTCGGTTCGGATTGTTCTCTGCAACTCGAGAACATGAAGTTGGAATCGCTAGTAATCGTGGATCAACATGCCGCGGTGAATATGTACTCAGGCCTTGTACACACCGCCCATCACACCATGGGAATTTCATGTTTTGCTCGAAATCGTCTCTATGATAAGCCAATGACTTTCAAGTGTGCAGCATGTTTTTCGCATCGTTGATCATAGAGACTATCACGGTAGAATCAGTGACTGAGGCGAAGTCGTAACACTTCACTAATGAGTCAGTGACATTCCAACTTAACAGTCGGTCACAGTTGCACACGCACACACACACACACACACACACAGGCATGCCATACAAATGTTACTACTAACTCTTGCCTCTCTCTCTCTCTCTCTCTCTCTCACACACACACACACACACACACACACACACACAGAATTACACAGAAGAAGATACAAGCATGCCATACAACTACTACCTGCTGCCGCACACGCACAAAGAGGTAATAAAGCAGTGCAGGGGCAACACCAATCAAATAGCACAAACAACAGTCCAGCATTAGCAGACAGCAATCATATAGGAATCAATAGCATACATATGCCACTACAACCAAGTGGAAGAGTAATGAGGTTTCAGTTCAAGGAATAAACCTATCACAGTAGAATTAGTGACTGAGGCGAAGTCGTAACACTTCACTAATGAGTCAGTGACATTCCAACTTAACAGTCGGTCACAGTTGCTCAAAAGGCACACGGGCACACACACACACACAGGCATGCCATACAAATGCTACTACTAACTCCTCTCTCTCTCTCTCTCTCTCTCTCTCTCTCTCTCTCTCTCTCTCNTCTCTCTCTCTCTCTCTCTCTCTCTCTCTCTCTCTCTCTCACACACACACACACACACACACACACACACACACACACACACACACACACAAAATTACACAGAAGACACAAGCATGCCATACAACTACTACCTGCTGCCGCACACGCACAAAGAGGTAATAAAGCAGCGCAGGGGCAACACCAATCAAATAGCACAAACAACAGTCCAGCATTAGCAGACAACAATCATATAGGAATCAATAGCATACATATGCCACTACAACCATGTGGAAGAGTAATGAGGTTTCAGTTCAAGGAACGAACCTATCCAACATTCCATCCTTGACATTTCTGGCAACCGAACAAGGTCTGGAGGGTCTACATCGAAATTCAGGCACAACACAATCGCCACACAGCCTGTTTTCATCTGCACAGTCCACGAAACGCATGACACATGCATGTTCACACACGTCAGAACATGACGGTCACCACATCACATTGCTGCCCATGCTCTGCAATCCGAGAAGCCCCAGGAACTCACCCTTTTCTTTTTCATCCACTTTTCCTAAGGGATCAGCCCTTAACATCACCATCGTGGGGCCACTCAAAAACGTTTCCTAAACCTGTTGTATGTACCACTCAGTCAGCTTATGTCCTCCCTGGAATAGGCCACAAGGTCATCAAGTTTGTACCTGGTCTGAAAATTCTGCCAAATACAGGTATAACGACTCCATAATGTCCACATTCTACTCGAGGCAAGGTGGTAGTCGCATCCAATTTCCATCCAGTGCATATTTTCAGTCCCCTGGGAAGCAGTTCCTGAATCATGAGGTCATCAGCTTTGTAACTAACCTGAAAATTGCACCAAATACAGGTATACTCCACATTCTATGCAGGCAAACTTAGTCAACTGAATTTGGTATGCGACCACTCAACTAGGGCCTAGTCTGTTTTGGGGGCTATGGGCCAAATATTGGGGCCCGGGCTGTTTTTGGGATATGCCACTAATCATCACATTTCATTCATGCAAGATGTTATGACCCTGGCCATTTTCCAAGTACAAATTCATGAGAAAGCACAATGCCGTCCAGTTGCAACAAGAAATGAATGAACTTGAGAGGAGAGGGAGGGAAAGAAGAAGAAGCAGAAGAGGAAGAAGCAGAAGAAGAAGAAGAAGAAGAAAAAGAAGAAGAAAGAAAGAAGAAGAAGATGTACACCAGCAAAGACCAATGATAATTCCCTTCTTCTCGCCAACACTCTTACTGGTTCCGAGCAAGCATTTAAAAACCAAGTACAAATAAGCGTGTAGTTGTTCCAGCAAACGGCAACGTTTTTCTTTAGAGATCACTCTCTATGGTGGCCATCCCGACCAAAGAACCAAAACAGATGTTGAAATAAAACAGGATCTCCTCCTCCTGCAGGATAAAAATAAGTGGTATTAAAATTTCTATCAGTTAATAGCATAGTAATAGCACTGCTAATACTGGAAGTGACAATAAAAGCAGAAAAGCTGTAATTAGCACAGATGGTTTGGATTAAATGAAAAAATAATTCGAGTTGTATCTTTAACTTTATATCCTTATTTTCAACGTCCAATTTTGTATTTATCTATGATGCAAATTTGGGGGCATGTAATTTCACCCCCTTCGCTTTTATCAAAAGCGATATCATCTCATGCTATATTGCATTTAATTCCTTCTTATATATAGGGCAAGTGGTTCGATTTATATTCTGTAAATAAGATAGATTCTCTTATATATAGCTTAGTTTTTTATTCTTATAATAATTACGTATTTCATCGTTCTTTTACCATTCAAAATATGAAAAATTTTGATCAAATTATCAATGAGACTTTTATTATATGTAAAAATGCTATATCTAAACAGAAAGTGCAAGATCTTTTAAATACAATTACTTCGTTGCGGTTTCCCGATAGGAAATCCATGGATCAAAGAGAGCTTCTCCCCATGGCGTTTCGCCTTTCATTGTGTCTTTCTTTCTCACTGCCAAGGCATCCACACAAAATTCCTTGGACTTCAGTTGAGAGTTTTGTCTTCAGATTCCAGACCAGGATTTACAAGGCCTCGCTTTCAAAGAATTATGGTAAGATGCGTGCACTTTGTTTGTTTCATCAATATGTTCTCAGGTACCAATCTTCATGATCTTCTTCATAGAATCAAACCTACGTAAAAAATCGTCTATGTTTTCTCTTTTTCTCAGTCTTAATAGCAGCTTTTTTAACTCCTCCAGACATTTGGTTTCAATTTTTGTGTGTTTTACCTATTTATGGTGTGATAGAATTAGCTATATTTTATATTTTTATTTGGCAAATTTCTAAAGACAAAATAGGTGACAGATCGAATATGGAGACTTGAAGGATAAGAAAGAGATGTTTTTCAACAAAATATGATAGATTTCAAAAGACTATCAAAAAAATAGTTTAAAATATGACAATAGAAAGGTCTCTAGTAGCTCAGTGGTTAGAGCAAATGGCTGTTAAGTGCACCGATTTTGACTTCTTTGTGGAGGATGTAGTTTGCACTACGACATACCGGCAAGCACTCAGACAGGCACGCAGACCTGCAAGCACGCACACATATACAAGGGAGGCTGCTCTACTGCGTGCCTGGGTGCTGCTAGTAAGCTTCCCGACTAGTTGAACAGCCCCCGACGAGGGGTCAAGCTTGGGGGTGGGCCACTCCATAGCAGCCCCCCCTTGTTTAGGCATCTACTGCCGCAAGGGAGGCTGACCCTCTCCTCTTCTCTTTTCTCCCCACTTCTTTTGTGCAAAACATGCTTGTCGGTGATGAGCAACTGGACTGACGCCCCCCAGAATAGAAGGGGCCTTGAAGCACCAGTTCACGGACCACTACTATTCACCAAAACACAGTTGACTGCAACCGTAGCAAAATGAGCACTGTTCTGGCACGGCGCAGGTTCGGAGGGAAATAGCTGGTGGGCCCAAAAAAAATCAACTGAACGCAAAATCAGGAGGGGGGGTGTGGTCCTTCGGGACATCCGTTAAAATTGGAACGATACAGAGAAGATTAGCATGGCCCCTGTGCAAGGATGACACGCATAAATTGAGAAATGGTCCAAATTTTTCAAAAAAAAAAAAAAAAAAAAAGCAGGGGGGGGTGTGGGGAAGCCAACGAGAAAACTGAGCTTCACTGCAGTCTCCACTCAGACGCCCTGCCTCGCTGGCAGGGCACAAAACCCAAAAAAAAGAAAAAAGAAACCAAAGACCTATTTGGACATAATATCCATCAGATACATTCCGGAACATGTGAATATGCCTTGAATGAGGGCACTCCCGAGAATGTGAATAGGAGAAAAAAGGTTAAAAAAAAAAAAGAGGAGGAATGGTAGTTATGACCATGATACATTCTTGAAAGTACTAATTGAGTATGCCCTTAGAGTAGTGTGAATATGCCCCGAGTGAGGGCACTCCCGATAATGTGAATAGGAGGAAAAAAGTTAAAAAAAAAAAAAGTAGGAATGGTAGTTATGGCCATGATACATTCTTGAAAGTACTAATTGAGTATGCCCCTTACCTGAGAAGGTGGAATACGCCCTGCCTTGCTGGCAGGGCACTTAGAGAAAGAAGAGGGACAAAAAAAAAAACTGATTTAGCCGTGTGCAATAAGTTAATAACCCATGCCATATGTCTCGTGGAACTGAGGGTCGTCAGAACTTCAGAAGGCCTACTTGGCCGCCCTCAGCCCAGGCCGAACCAGGGCAGAAAAGGCCCTTCACGGATTCAGGGCCTGGGCGTGTGACAGTTGAATTTGGTCAACTGTCGGTCCACCCAACAGTCAAAGTCCAGAGGTACCTAGCCTAGGCCACAGGTCAAGCACACACACTTGTTTGTACGCAGGTCCAAGGGAGAAGTCTGCAACTGTACAATCCGGGCCTTCAGTTGTGAGTCAATCTGGACGACTGAGGGGAAATGCACCGAGGCCAGACAGCGTCGCTGACTACTACTTAAGGCTGGCCTCCAGGAAGTCAAGACATTCAGTCTTGCTATGCTGCTTTGACGCTGGCTCAATTTTGGCTAGACGCTGGCTACATGCTGTCTGTGCACAGGCGCTGCGTGCGACAGCACGAGGTGGAGGCAGCATGCTGGTGTTTTCTCAGTGCGCCAGGCTATGCTGACGTGGTGCTCCCTCTGGTATATGTGGCGCTGCCTCTGGTCTACGTGGCATGCTGAAAGGCGCTGCCTCTGGTGTATGTGGCACTGCCTCTGGTCTAGGTGGCATGCTGATGTGGCGCTGCCTCTGGTCGACGTGGCATGCTGACGTGGCGCTGCCCCTGGTATATGTGGCGCTGCCTCTGGTTTACGTGGCTCTGCTACTGGTCTACATTGATGATGTGGCGAATGCCACCTGTTTCGATTATTGCTGATGTCGCATTGTCCACGCTGTCTACATGAGGTGACTGGTTGCGAGGAGGAGGAAGATCAGGATCTGTGGATGTAGGGAATCGGGTACTCACCTGCGGTTGACGTCGTCACTGGAAATCTGCTGTGTCTTCGGAGTCTTCGTGAGATAAAGTGCCACGTGGCACTATTGAGTGTGATCAAGAATATGCTTATTATCATTGATGATGTGGTGTGGAAAGAAGCCCGGAGAAGGAGAGGGATCTGAAGGGTTTACTGTGTGATCTCTCTTCCTCTCCTTTGTCTATTCTCCCTCCAATCTCTTCTCTTTTTGATAATGAGTTACGGTTTGAGATATCACTTCACGATCTGGAGACTTTCATGCAGGTATTGAAACTACAGTAGATTGACGACTTCTGAGTATCTGATAGACTGGGTTCATTACACGTGATGGTGGTCAGATACATTCTGCACAGTAGCCTGGGTCCGATGCCCTCCCCGACATCTCTTTCTTTTTCGGCCTTTGTTCATCATTGATCTGGATTTAGTTCGGATTTTTTTTTTTTTTTTTGCTTGTCCTTTTGGTGCCATGTGCTGGCAAGATATACAGCACATGAGTTACAAGGTGGGCTGGTACCGGAACCCCAAGATTTTTCTTCCCAGCCTGTTACGGTAGCAGTCAGGCTCAGAAAAGTGCAACTTTTGGTACGTCAATTTAGGTTCGTGTGAACTGGTGGTTCAAGGTTTCTTAAAGAAGAAGAAGAAGAAGAAAACAAGAAAAAAAGAAAAAAAAGAAAACCATAATTCCCTTCTTACCCTAATTACAACAGTACACTTTATCCAGCGGCCTAGCTCAGTTGGAGTTGGTAAGGCACACAAGTGGCATTCAGGAGGTCTTGGGTTCAATCCCCATTGGCCTCATGTACCTTCGTGGGCAAGCTTGGCGTCCGCCACCTAGAGATATGCCGTTGGTCCCCCGAGTGGCATTGAGCAGAGACTGCTGATGCTCACAGGGGGAGGGGACCGGAGGGGAGGCACAGTGACTGGCC